AGAGTCCAAGGCTCTTTCCTGACCAGCCAACTTACCTACAGGAAAAGTGTGCATCCAGCGCCTTCTGTTGGATGTGAGCTTCATGGGCATTCTTGAGGGGGCAAAGGGGTTAATCAGTGCTCTCTGAGGTGTGTATCCACCAGGCCGAACATGTAGCATAGACTCTGCACTGCCAACATGGAACCTTCCTGGTGCACTCGAGTCCCGCTGTGGGGGTTCTATCATGTTCTCCAGGACATCTGCTGCAAATCATGGGGTTGAAAACAAAGACAAAGCACAAATCCACAATGAAATCAGAGTTAAGAAGACGGATGAGTCAAGACTAGCAAAAATCTAGGACGTCATAAGTATCAGGAAGTAAGAATAATGAATAAAACATGCTTAGATTTTTTTTTCTTTTTTCAAATATTTTGGAGACAAGACCCAATGAAGAAACATACAAACCTAATAGAGTCCCATAATTTGCAGGGGGACCGTGAATACTGAGTTGAATGCAATGAATAAGGATAGGACTATAGTTATTTCCCATGGGAATGGGGTGAATATATTCTCTCTGAGGGCAAAACAGCAAAAATAAATGTTTGAGTCAGCTGTGACAGTTACACACTTTAGTCAGAGCACTTGGGAGACAGAGACATGCAGATCTGAGCTCAAGGCCAGGAAGATCTACAAAGAGAGTTACAGGTTAGCCAAGGCTGCATAGCAAGACACTACGTGACGAATAAATAAGTGAAATGCATGTCTGGTGAACAGACTAGCTCACTAAAGCCATTTGATTTTGAGTACACAAGGCTAGAATCCCTCTCTATTTGCACTGAAACCAAACGACACGAGTTCCAGCAAAAAGAATACATTTAGCTTTCTTTAAGGACTATACAACAGCTATCAATAAGCATCATCTTCATTATTTTTTCCTCTTCTGTGGTAACTCTGGAAATCAGTGTTGAAGATGATGGCATTATAGGATAAGAGGAATCAAGGTCCTCAATGATTAAGAAGATTCCCCCATTGAGTCTGTGTACTGAGAGAAGTGTAAGCAATCATGCCATTGTGTTCAACTGAAGAAATGTTCTTAAGAAAAAAGAATAAAGAATGTGTTCATGCTTGGCTAGGCCAGGAAAAGCAATATTTAGATTCAACCTGTCCTGTGCAATGGCCTAGAGTTATGTAACCCAATCTAAGGACCTAAAAACTGAAACAAAGTCCGTTTCTGTGCATCCCATGTTCAGGAAACAACTATGTTGATTAGAAAGTGGTATCAAGGGAGGCTGGAGAGAAAGAAGGCTTAGCAATTAAGAGCACTGTCTATTGTTTCATGGAAACAGGATTCAATTCTCAGCACCCAGATGACAGCTCACAACTGTCTATAATTCAGTTCCATGGAATTTGACACCCTTACATAGACATACATGAAAGAACAACACCAATGTGCATAGGATAAATAAAACAACTTTAAAAATGTGGCATCGAGTAATGTTTTAACCAGGCATGGTGGCTTCCATCTGTAATCTCAGCACTTGGTAGGCTGAGGCAGAAGGACCATGATGAGTTTGAGGCTACAGTGTGACCCTGTCTTAAAACGAACGAGAACAACAACAAAGGATTCCTAAGAACATGGCTCAGTGCTTGCCCCACAAGTATGTAGATCTGAGTTTGGATCTCTGTGACCAACAGATTGCAGTCCTAGCAATGGCGAGATGGGAAGTGGAGACAGATACCTGGAGCTACTGGCCAACTCACCTAGCTTGTTTGGCAAAGTGCAGGCTAATCAAAAGCCATATTGTTTTTTAATTTTATTTATTATTATAGTGTGTGAGGGCATGAGTGTCAAAGTACACACGCGGAGACTCAAAAACAAATTCTGTAGAGTTGGTTCTCTCCTTTCATCTTAATCTGAGCTCTAGGAATAGAATTCAGGGCATCAGGAAAATCCCTTTTCTAGCTGGCCATCTTGCCAGCCCCAGAAAACACAGCTCAGTGGTTAAGAACTCTAACTGTTCTATCAGAGGACCCGGGTTCAATTCCCAGCAACCACATAGCAGCTTACAACTGTCTGAAAATCCAGTTCCAGGGGATCTGACACCTTCATACTGATTCACATAAAGTTAAATAAATCATAAAATTTATTAAAAAAAAAACAAGTTTAAACAAAAAGTGGAAGGTACATTAAAAACAAAATTCAAAGTTGTCTTCTGACCTCCACACATGAACCCGCATGTAACCACAAAGTTGTCCTCTCATTCACACATAATTTTTAAATAAATGGTTTAATCACCATACATACTCGTTCACACATAATTTTTAAATAAATGGTTCAATCACCATTATCTAATATCTAGCATGAAACCTTCTATATCATTGTAATATTTCATCTTTGAACCTGATTTGTAATTTGCATACAATTATAGAATAATCAAATCACCATCAAATAATCACAAAAATCCTGTCACTAGACATAGTAGTGTAATTCCAACATCAGGAGTGTAGCAAACAGAAAAATAGCCAATTAAAAGACCAGTCTGAGCTGGGCAGTGGTGGTGCATGCCTTTAATCCCAGCACTCTGCAGGAAGAGGCAGGTGGATTTTAGCGAGTTCGAAGCCAGCCTGGTCTACAAAGTGAGTTCCAGGACAGTCAGGGTTACACAGAGAAACCCTGCCACAAACAAACAAACAAACAAACAAACATCTGTGGCAGGAACAGAAAACCAAAAGTTCATCTATAGACTGAATTGGGAATTCCAACTGATTGCCTCAACTTCCCCAGTTGATTTCTGCTGGATGTGTGTAAACCTTTGATGGTGGTACCCTTGTCTGTTTTCTTAGTCAGGTTACTCCCGGGGTTTGCTGGATGTTGCAAACTGATTTGAAAATAATTTTGCTGTTTTTCTGGTGCTTCTATCTACTTGTTACTTATTCTTTTACTTTTCCAGTTTACTTAATAAACTCACTCATTCACAACTGAAAGTACAGCTGCCATAGATCATTCTCTGAACCATACAGAATACACTGTAAATTGATAAACTGGTGCTAGGATTTAGCAAATAAGAAAGTATATGGCCTAACTAATTACTATAGAAATGAAAGAAGAAACTCAGCTGGGTAAGATGGTACACATCTATAATCCCAGCACTGAAGAGGTTAACGCAGGAGGAGATTGCTGTAAACTCAAGGCTAACCCGGGGAATAGTAAAATGAGACTGTCTCAAAAGGGGGCCAGTAAGATGGCTCAGCGAAGGTACTTGCCACTAAGTTTGAGTTTGAGGCCCAAAACACAAAGCGTGGCACATACTGAGATGAGAAAATAACAGACCCTTTGAGCCTATGCCTAAAAAGACTGTAGATGACGTACCAAAGGTTAGAGACAACAGAACAGTGTAGTACACATCCAACACTAATATGATTTGCATCCGTTCACTGAGACTGACACCCCACTCCAATCAGGCCCTGTCACTCCCACACCACACACTGCAAAAACACTGTCCCCAGGCCTCCCCAGCCGTCTGTGCTCTAGCACTCTGACCTCGGGTGCTGGTGTAGCCCAACGAGCTGCTGACTTCATACTGGTGCAGGTGGGGGTTAGGGATCATCAGGATGTTGGTGCTCTTGCCCAGGGAGCTGTCATCAGAAGCCTGGCTCCTCACTTCCTCAGTAGGCAGTGCACGGCTTGGTAGGGAAGGGCTGGATGAGACATCACAGGAGCTGGCACTTTTGCGATTATGATTCTCCTGCTCTCTCACAGACCTGACATGCAAGAGACATATTACTACCATGAAAACGACACTTCGAGTTAAAATATCAGTGATGATCATCAGCTATATATACTCAAGAAACCAATATTAAAACTCTCAATATGGGAAATAATGCTGGCCTGAGCAACAAAGATTTCATCTCAAGAGCAGGGGGGAGAAAGGGGCATGGTGATTTACATGTAGTCCTGGCAATTGAGAGGTTGAGGCAGGAGGATCATCAGGAGTTCAAGGCCATTCTAGGCTACAGTGAATCCCTGGGCTATAGAATGAGACCCTGTATCAAAACAAGAAAAAAAAATGTTTGTTTGTTTGTTTTTCTGAGGCAGGGTTTCTCTGTGTAACAGATCTGGCTGTCCTGGAACTCTCTTTGTAGACCAGGCTGTCCTCAAACTCACAGAGATCTGCCTGCCTCTGCTCCTGAATGCTGGGATTACAGGAGTGCGCCACAACCGCCCAGCAAAAAAAAAAAAAAAAAAAAAGAAAAAAGAAAACCACATAAGATCCAAAGGTGGTTAAATCTATCACAATTAGAAACTTATTTGGTCAAAACAACACAGAGCAAATTTATTTATTTATTTTTTTATTTTCGGGACAGGTTTTCTCTGTAGTTTTTGTCTCTGCCTCTCGAGTGCTGGAATTAAAGGCGTGCGCCACCACCGCTTGGCTCACAGAGAAAATTCAAATAGTGGGAGTTAAAGAAAGAAAAACTCTGTCCTTGGAATAATAAACCTAAAAGATCAGTATTAGTGCCAGTCGAGGAAGAGCCTGTGCTTCGTGAATTGCATCTCTTGGCTGCAATGTCTGAGAGCCTTCCTGTATCTTGAAACAATATTTCATGACAAACAAAACAGGTAGACCCAAGTGTCTGAGAATGGAATCCCCAATGATCTCTACAACATAGTTTTCCTGAGGCTAATTTTAATTTAAAACTCCTTTAAAATTTTTATAATTTTTATGATGTAAATATTCTGTCTGCATGGACGTAGGTGCACATGTCTCCCTAGTGCCCATGGACATCAGAAGAAAGCTTTGGAGCTCCTAGAACCTGAAGTTCTAAATGGATGTGTACCACCACATAGATGCTAAGAACTGAACCTGGGCCCTCTGAAAGAGTAACAAGTGCTCTTAACCACTGAGCCGTCCCTCCAGCCCCAATCTAAATATTTTTAAGGTTGCTCTCATAAAGGTCCCTCAGGTTTTCTTTTTGCTTTCTAATAGTCTGTTTTAATATAAACGAATGCTATAATTAAAAAAAATATGGAACCCTTCACAAATTTGTGTGTTACCCCTGCACAGAGGCTATGCTAATCTTCTCTGTGCTGTTCCAATGCAGTAAATGTGCTGATGAAGCAAGCACCTCTCAGGTTTTCTTAACTGCTCATTCTTCCTAAAATATAGTCTCACTATATAGTTGAGGCTGGCTTTGAATTTGGAATCCCTCCACCTTTGCCTCCTGAGTGTCAGGTTATGAACTTGTGGAACAGGCCTTGGGTCACTAAATCATCTTATATGCACCCCCAGAGGAATATGACAGAAAACCTGCAGGTGGCAAGACGCTGAGCCCGGGATGGACCGGGCAGCCTGAATACTTGAGCATCGTAGGCATCATAATCTACTTGGATGGGCAGGGTGTTCTCAGATTCCTTTGGAGTCCCAAGAGCTGTAAAAAACAAATAATACAATTACCTATAGAGACATCTATAGAGGATCATCAAAATCTGTAAGGCATTGGGGCTATCTACCAAGAAAAAGATGGAATAACCCAACCATCAGATTAAGACTGAATGACATAAATGTCAAAGTGACATTAAAATAGTATAGCAGTAGCCGGGCAGCGTTCAGCGCTAGTCTTATGTGGTCCTACATCCCCAGTGCTTTCCACTTGACCCATGCACTGCAGCTGACAAGGCACAGCTGCAAGGTGGCTAAGCAGCCTTCCTAGGGTGACACAGGAATGTGGGTTACTGACTTTTATATGAACCTTCTTATGATACTTCCCATTATTTTTTGGCCATGAATTAGCTATTCCTAAAAGTGATAAGAAAGCATCTCAAAAATACTCACATGTGGCCAGACAGTGGTGGCGCACGCCTTTGATTCCAGCACTCAGGAAGCAGAGGCAGGTGTATCTCTGTGAGTTCGAGGCCAGCCTGGTCTACAGAGTGAGTTCCAGGGCAGCTAGGGCTACACTGAGAAACCCTGTCTTAAAAAACAAATTAAAAAACAAAAAACTCACATGTATCTCGGCCATTTTTGGTTTTCTCAGAAGCAGGCTGCAAAATTAAATAGATATTGTATCACTCCTCTGACAGAAGCAAACGGAACCCAGTGTGTTATGTTCTATTCCCCAGGGCAAAGACCATGTCCTGGCTATCTAGTAACTTATGAAAACTGGGTGTTAACACTTGACACCTGCCTACCACAGTGGCAAGCCCTGCTAAGTCCTTTAGTTTCCACTTTACACTTTATTCTCAGAACCTTATCCAGTGGGGAATGGACCCCAGTTCCTGCCGGGGACTGAATCCCAGGCATGTGCATGATTTTGGTAAGTGCTCTACACTGGGCTATAGCCCCAGCTTCTCCATAAAGTTTCAACACAAAACTGTTTAAACCCTATTATGACCCTAGAGACGGGAGAAGGGAACTAACAGTACACACAGTCGTATGCAGCCCCTGAACGCTGCTCAGACTGGGGAAACATACCTTCTTTCCTGCCAGTTTGATCCGTGGGGTGAAACTGTTGCAAAACAGCTGGCTTTTGGATGTGTAGAAACTGTCAGAAAAAAAAGTTATTAATCTATAATTTATTTTTTTTAATTTTGATGTGCATTTGGTGTTTTGCCTGCATATATGTATGTGTGAGGGTGTCAGATCCCCTGGAATTGGAGTTACAGACAGTTGGGCAGTTATGAGCCATGTGGTGCTAAGAATTGAACCCAGGTCCTCTGGAAGAGCAACCAATATTCTTAACTGCTGAGGCATCGCTCCAGTAACAATTTTTTTTTGTTTGTTTTTGTTTTTCAAGACAGGGTTTCTCTGTATAACCCTAGCTGTCCTTAAACTCAGGTTTTCCTACGTCTTCCTCCAAAGTGCTGGAATAAAAGGCGTGCTCGATTAAGCCCAGATTCTTTAATCTAAACCTTAAGACAAACTGTAGGGGCTGGAGAGATGGCTCAGAGGTTAAGAGCACTGGCTGCTCTTCCAGAGGTCCTGAGTTCAATTTCCAGCAACGACATGGTGACTCACAACTGCCTATAATGAGATCTGGTGCCCTTTTCTGGCTGCAGGCACACATGCAGGCAGAACACAATACATAATATATATGACAAACTGCAATCCCAAGTAAGACCAGCATGCCTGTGTCTGGTTTTGTTTATATTCACAAATCTTCCCAATTCTAGCCAGTGAGCTGGCCCAGTGGGTAAAAGCAGTGTGCAAACCTGACAGTGTGGTCTCCAGCAACCTATGGTGGAAGGAAAGAATCGATTTCTAAAAGTTATTCTGACCTCCACACAAACCAGGACTCACACTCACACATCATTTACACATATACATATGAATAACAATAAACGAAGCATGGTCATGAAATGCCTTTAATCACAGCACTGTGAAGGCAGAGGCAGGTGGATCTCTATGAATTAAAAGGCCAGTCAAGGCTACATAGCCAGACATTTTCTCAAATAATAATAATAGTAATAATAAAAATTTTGAACTCCAACTTCAACATCAGCAACGATTTCAACTGTTGCTCTGGCCATCTCTCCTCATACACCATAGGCTCACAGTATAGTGTGTAGTGGTCCTAACTGCTAACTAGATCAGAGTCTCCTGTTTCAGAAACAAACCTCTTTACATCAGAATACTTTCATCCTGATGTTTGGTATGTTAGGTCCAGGGGAAGTTCTCTTTTTTCTAATTTATTTTTAATTTATGTACATTGGTGTTTCGCCTGCATGTATGTCTCTGTGGGGGTGTAAGATCTCCTGTAACAGGCAGAACAGACACTTGTGAGGAATGCTGGGAATTGAACCCAAGTCCTCTGTAAGAGCAGCCAGCTCTCTTAACCACTGAGCCATCTCTTCAGCCCCAACAGGAAGTGCTTAATATTCACTTGCTGGTTGGCACTTAGTTAAACAAGACAAAATAAAACAATAACACAGTTAGTGCTCAAGAAGAGATAGCAGAAATCATTCAATCCCAGTCCCTCTGACAATAATCTTACTATAACCATGTCATAAACCTATGTTAACTGGAGACCAGCCTTCCACCCAAGTGCAGAATAAACACACAGGAATTGTACTGCCTTTCCAGTACAAGGGACCTTGAACCTTCTTGTATTATCTTTTCTCAGTCATAAACTTGCAAATAATGTTTGAGACATTGCCCTAATTCTACCTTCTAGAAAAATCTCTCACTGTAAACAAATAAAAATTAAAAATGAAGCCAGATGTGGTAACACACCCTTTTTTCAACACTTGGGAAACTGAGGAAGGAAGGTGGGTCTCAGAGTTCAAGGCCAGTGTGATTCTGATGAGCTCTAGGCAGTCACAGCGACAAGTGAGACAGTGCCTCAGAAAGCCAAGCCCAGAGAATAAAAGCAGCAGCATCTGCAGACTAGTGACAGGCTGTAAGAACAACCTAAGGCACACTAAGTACATAAGAACACACGAGTGTCACCAGTACCTGCCCTGCCACTGGACTTGGAGCCCAGACAACCCTGGGATCGGGCTTCTCCCAGGAGTATAAAAGAGAAAATCAAGTAAAACTTGTTATTTTCTTCCCAGACATCAAGAGAAAAGAATGAGTGAGAGCCCCGCAGGGTGACAGATGACCATTATCCTAGCACTTGGAAGTCTGAGACAGAAGGAATGCTCTGAGTTTTAGGTCAGCCTAGGGTATACAGCAGGACCTTGTCTCAAGAAAAAACAAATGGCGGAGGAGACAGCTTAGTCAGTAAAGTGCTTGTCATGCAAACATAAGGACCTCGGTTCAATTTCCAGAGCCCAAGTAAAAAAGCCAGGCTCAGGGCTGTGCACCTGATCCCAGCACAGTGGAGACGGACAAGTAGATAGATATCGGTGGTTCTCTGGTTGGCTAGTCTAGTCTACCTGGGAAAGCTCTAGGACAATGAGACCCTGTCTCAAAACAAAATGAATGGCTCCTGAAGAAAGACACCAGGTTGACATCTGCCCTCCACAAGTATGTACATACACATGTACACACACCCTCATACATAATGAAATAGCTCTTACAATTTAAAAGACTGGAACTGCTTGATCTCCTTGTCATAGTTAGTAGTACACCCTGGAGATACTTAAGACCTCTAAGAACAATGTATCATAGGGCATGGTGGCGCATGCCTTTAATCTCAGCACCAGGGAAGCAGAGGAAGTTCTAGGCCAGCCAGGGCTCTGGACAGAGACCCTGCCGAGAAAGAAAAAGACAGACAGAGACAGAGAGACAGGGACATAGAAACAGAGAGAGTACACAATGTATCTAATTGACTAGACTTGTATTTCCCATGTAATCAACCTTTATAAATTACACTATAAATTATGTACTCTTCCTTGTCTTTGACCCATAAATAACACATGTGTACATATGTATGTTATAGTAATAAATGATGGAAACAGCATATATAGGTCGAAAGCAACCTTACAAAACAAATGAATATCTACCATAAATGTTGAAGACAACATATAGATACTACTCAATAGCTTTTGTTTGTTTGTTATCTGTGTCAGTGACACTCAGTGACAGAATTCCTTATAAAATTCTGTTGAAGATGTCTGTAAAGTATCCCTCATTCCTTCTTCATGTGATGTGCTCTGTGTTGTTCAATAAAAGAGAAATAAAAGGGCTTTGTTAAGGACACAAAGAAACACACACACAAGGAGATTCACAAGACAGCATTGAGGCAAGCACAGATTCATGCTCATACAACAGACCAAAAGACAAATACAAAAGATACAGTGAGAGAAGCAGAATTCAAATCTGGGCTCAATCTTGGGTAAATTACACCAAGTGGAAGTGCTTTTTAATTACTTTTCCTATTTTTTAAAAGATCTATTTATTATGAGTACAGTGTTCTGCCTGCATGTATGCCTGCATGCCGGAAGAGGGCGCCAGATCTCAATTTCATTACAGATGGCTGTGAGTCATTACAGATGGCTGTGAGTCACCATGTGGTTCCTGGGAATTCAACTCAGGACCTCTGGAAGAGCATCCAGTGCACTTAACTTCTGAGCCATCTCTCCAGCCACTAATTTCTTTTTCTTAATGCAACGCTGATACATTTTGGGTATTCTGAGGCTACTATTAATGTGCTCATTAATAATGAGTGACACACGTGCACTC